TTAATATTATTTTATATTATCTATTAAAGTCATTGAAAGTAGGACTAGTTGTCGTACTGACAATAATGAATGATTTAATTTTACAATTAAAATCTACAGTATCTGCACTTTGCCAAGATGTTGATAAAAGTTATGTACAACTACACTCTCTCCCATCTTACCTCACTGATGGCACTATTCAAAGTAAGAGAGGATGGTGGAACTGTGTCATAACCTGGCTCATAGGCCACGACAAAAAATGGGAAAGACATCTCAAAAGTAACAAATATTTATTGTAACAACAAGAATAACTTCAACATAATGTAGAATATGAGATGTGGTTGTCTGTAATATCAGTGGTATTCATGTGGATGAGGAGCTTTTATATTATTTATTTTTAACGTTATAAGGAGTTCGGTCTATTTGAAAAGTGTCCTGAGATAACTGTTATGAATTGGCGCTATACAAATATAATTGAGTTGAATTGAATTGAATTATATATAGACAGTGCAGACCTCTGCCCTGTATCTACAGCACCAAACTATGTCTCGTATCTACAGCACTGATCTCTGTCCTGTATCTATAGCATTGACCGGTATCTGTCCTGCCCTCTGTTACTTTGGTATTGTTGTCAAATGGACTCAATCTAATCTTTATCAACTGCCTCTGAATGATAATTAGTGTCAAATTATTGGACGATAGTAAAACTTCTTAAAACTTGTAGACATTACAGACCTCTGACCTGTGTCTATAGCACTGACCTCTGTCCTGTCCTCTGTAACTTTGTATTATTGACTTTTGTTGGTAGAACTGTATGCAATCTTACACACACATGCACTGGGGCTTTATGTACAACGTTCATTCATCATCGAAGAGAAATGGTGGGCCACGCCTTCAAAAGTACGGTAACCAATTAAAGACAAACAATAAATGATACCTAGACACAGACCTATTTGTCATGTTCGGCTTCATATAAATAACCCATGCACCAATGTGGGTGAAGATTAGATGAAATATGTGTCAGATGAAGCAAAACATCCAAAATGGCAGGAATGTTTTTAAGGTGTGAATGGACGTGGCCTATATCAGTAAAAGGAATGCACTGTACAAAAATGCTTCTTCTATACCTAACGATTCATGAGTTAATGCTTAATAACCAACACATGGTGGCACATCATTCTGCTGGTGTCGGTGTATCTGTCAAATATTTTGTCATTTTTTTATCAAAAATATTGTGTCCAGTACTAATTATAGTCAGACATCTATAGTCAGTGTGGGCTCATTGTGTGACTCATCTGAACGCTGTTAGAAACGTGATATCTCATATCCAACAAATGTCTGTGTGGAGTTTGGTAGCATTTGAATGACGACTTGTGGAGATAAAAATGTTAATTTATTTGATATATTAAAATAGAGTGATGGACTTTTGAATAGACCACAGTTTGCAGTGAGGAAAACCTCACAATTCAGTGGAGGCAAAAGTTTCAGCTTGTGTAGGATGAGCTGAAACTGTAGGACATTCGAGTGATTTAATGGAATTTGAAATAACCGACCACATGATGGCGCTATTGAATACATGCTTTAATATGTTCAGCACATCTCCATGGGGAACCTGTGTTTGATGACTTTAGCATGTACAGTATTTGAGATTGAGTTTAATTTATGTGACTGAATATTACAGTAAAATATGAATATCTCACTAACAGGCTTCATATGAGAATGATGTGTTTATTTCTTGCTGCTGTCACACAGTTAGGATCCTAACCCATAATAATAACTGACTGTTTGGTCCCTTTAACTTGCTCTTTGTGTGATGGTTATGTAGCTCCGCCCCTCCCACCGGGCGGGCGGGGCTTGATACTGCAGCACAGCATCCACAACAGCATCCAGTGCCACAGTACTACAGTACAGTACCCGGTACTACAAACAGGACTACTGAAGCATCCAGGAGCTGCTCTAATCCGGATTTAGCCTCGGACGACCGACCGACCGACAGACCGACAGACAGACGGACGGACGGACAGACAGGTGAGTGTTTGTTTGACTGGTGGAAGCTGCTGCATGAACGGGTCCGGGTTGTTGTGATCAGCTGTTTTCAGTGATTTCAGGCTGATTCAGCAGAAACGACTTCCTGTGTATCAACCAATCAGATGTCTTTATTTCAGATTAATAATAATAATAATAATAACAGTAATACTTGTAGTATGTGTTCTGAGATAATTGAATTTAACTGAATTATTATTATCAAATCATTATTTAAAGTTTTTTACAGTATAAGTGAAAGGGGTTATTGTTGTTATTATTAGTTGTAGTAGTAATAGTAGTAGTAGTATTAGTATTAAGTCAATAGTAAGTAAAGTAAATATTGATTTATGAGTTCTGTTTAAGCTCAATAGTGATCAATATATATTATGACATTACAATGTTTTTATGAACTGACAGTAAGACTCTGTGTTTGATACAGTGACACAGTCTTATCAATATAACACAGCAACCAATCTCAACTCAATGTATTGATCAGTTGAAAATTCTGATCAACTATTTTAATCCTTTTTAAACTCCAAAGATTCCCTGCTGCGGTTTCAGAATCATGATAGATTATTAAAGACAATATCTATCAAATTATTAATGAGCCTGACAAGCTATTCAATATGGAGGACTGAGAGCCCACATGAAACTAGAACCGAACCATTCAGAGCTCACATCCCAATATAGTCCCGGTCTGATTCCAGTCTGGTATTTTGGTGGAGTTCCAAAAAACACAGACAGCGTTCAGAGTACTGAGTCAGCAACCTTCTGTTGGGACCATCAGTCTGCCATCAGGCTGCTAATAATCAATATCCTCAGTATCCATTGATCTGCTGTCCATCAGTGACTTCATCAATAAAACAGGAAGCCTCCAATAAACTCAGTATGCACTTCTGTGTACTGATGTACCACTGTGTACTTGTACTGCAGTACATTCAGAATGAAATACTGCACTTTTTACTACTTTTATTTAAAAGCTTTAAAGATTCTGGATCCACCAACAATAGCTGATCAATAATTTATAATCAGTAAACAATGTATAAAC